TTTTAAGTTGATTTTGCTAAGCTTAAAGCAAGTACTAATAAAAAATTTTAAACTGAAGTTTGTTGAACAAACAGCGGTTTTTTCCTGTTTAAATTAAAAAAAACGTCAATTTTATGGTTCTGTTTTCGTTCTGCTATATATGCGATATTCTTAGATTCTTTATTGACAACTTTTTTGCATTTTTTGTTCTGCAGATTAATGACGACACTGTTTCTAAAATTAATGTCTATGCTTTGTGTTGAAGTATAGATATTAATTTTAGAGTTGAGATGCTGTTATAAGTCTTATGATGAATAAAAGAGCATAATAAAAAATTGGTGATAAGTTTTCCTATTTGCCGTTTTTATTTTATATTGTCGTTGTTTCAATCTGGCTTTAACTCAATAAACTAATATTTTTGTTTCTGCTTATTGTTTTTGGGAGGTATCGATTAATAAGAATGACGATAAAACCATGTACTGCATACTTAGATAAATACAGAAAGTGTCAAGTGTTAATGCAAGCAGCTATAAACTTCAAAAAAAATTTTGTTTTTGTTTTCAAATTTCTGTCTTAATAAGCACATTTTCTGCACATTAAAAATTTTTTGCGTCATTTCTGGAACGGTCTTTTCCTTAAAATTTCAATTAAAAAATGATTTGTTTGAATATGCCTCGCTTTATGACTTTACAAAATAGTTTCTTTAAAAACAGTTATTATTATGTGGTCAAAAAATTGGCTGCAGATAGTCATATTACCACTCTTTGAACTCGTAGATTTTTCATGGTATTACAGAAATTTTGTAAAATATTGAAAAAAATGGAGGTAAAATAGTTAGCTTTATTTCCGAGTAATCTACGAGCAGGATTCGTTTTTGATTAAAAAAGGAACGAAACGAATTTCATTTCTCTGTTATTGAACACATTTGATCTGCATCAAATTCAGGAAGCTGCTCGTCATTGAGACTTCATTAACTGGTTCCATTTTTCCGGATTTCCAAAGAAGCGTTTTCTAAATACACTTTAGGAGGTTGTTGCACATCTTGTTGGATTTTACCTACAACAGAAAATATTAGACTTCATTTATTTTTATATTTTTTTTGCATAAAAAATTTCTTGCAAATCAGTTTTTGGTTAGTCAACTTGCACCACATAAACTTTTGTTCTACAATACGTTTACGTTCATATTAGTTTGTAAAATTAACTTTGACAATACAATCAGAGTAAAATGAGTCAAGATTTTAAGTGTAGCTGATAGTTCAAATTCTTAAGTTATCGACAGTAGCATTTTATCGATTATATAAGGCTATATATTTAGTGCCAGAGTATTCTCCAAGCTTATTTTGACTACTTCATCGAAACAGTTAGATTGCATTGGGTAGTTTTATACCATTTCTGTTTGTAAAGAATATCATCCATTTTGATCTGTAGCTATTGTGATAGTCCAATCTTGCTTTTGAATAATCTACCATAATGTTTTTACCAATATAATCCATTGTAATTCTAAAAAATAATTATAAGATTTTAATTTTTTAGTGGTTTGACTGCTAAAAACTTTTATAAATTTTTGAAAATAAAAAGTTAAAATGCTCTAGCAAAAGCAGACAGTTTTTGGAGCATTACTAAAAAAGTGGACATTAAAAAATCTTTATAAAATCTTGTCCAGCACTTAATACTAAATCAGAACGATTGCACAGTTATTCAAAAAATGTTAGGGCTTGATTAAAATTTAGTATGTAATAGAGTAAACGAAGTGCTGTCAACAGAGACGGTGTTTTACGTGTGAACCGACGTATAACAATTTGACAAATCAATCAAATTGCAAGCAAATAAACATTAAAAATAAACTAAAATGCAGTTAAATTTTGACCGCGTAAAAACTTCTTTTTCAAAACTGATGTTTAACAGTTTCAGTTTGATAATATATTTACCAGTAAATTTGATGTTGCAAAGAAGTTTTGTTCTTTACTATAAAGCAAACATTTGACAAAAACGTAAAAAGTTGATTTTCAAACAGACAGTTTAGGCGAAACATAAATACTGCTTCAAATTTTGTAAACATTATTGCCTTTCAACAAGATAATCTTCACTGGGATCCCAACCGCGGTACAGGTTAATATAGCTGTTTTCAGAAAATGCTGCATCAATAACTTGTATTTCTATACGATACTCTTGTCCAACAGCAAGAAGATATGTGCATGGTTTTTCAGACCCTGAAATTGTTAGGTTATTATATTGTTAATAGCTTTAAAGGCATTATTCGTTTAGATAAGTAGTTCTTGTTCAAAAAGTAAAAAACTTATTTTCCTAAATTATTGAATTTTGTTTATCTTATTTTTGGCGTTTTTGACAATCTTTTTTGTTTAACAGTTGCGTTTTGTTAGTAATTTTACCGTGTCAGAGAAATATTTGGGCTATTTCTCACTAAAAGATGATTTCTTCAGTCATTTTGGTTAAGTGAGAGATCAGAAGATGGCTACAAGAATACTGGTTACTAATAATACTTGAATGGTGAACAGAATTTCGTGGCGAAAAATTATCTTTGAGACACTAAAAAGCAGAAAAAAGCTTAAGTGCTTCACCAACAATCTAAGATAAATTTACACGACAAAGACAGAGTATGCCAAATACTGAGACTTGTAAAGCCGCCAAAGTGAATAAGAAGGTTGGAAATGCAATATGCAGGAAGTGCAAAATAACACCAACAAAAAAAGTCAGCACAAGCCTTAATCATCTTTTATTTCCACTCTTTCCTTCTTCTCTCAATCATTCAAAAATCATTATTAAGCGTGCTCTATTTTGCGAAAAAAAAGAGCCATATTTGAGACGTTGAAAATTTTTTTTTTAAAGGACATAGAATAGATCAAATTTCGTATGTTGAAAGAACAGATTACTAGCTGCTAAAGGACGTAATATGTACATAATGTTGATATAAATATAGTGCTCAAACAAATTTCTAGACTCAAAGAAACCTTACTGAGATTAATAGTTTTGTGCTAAAACTGACAAAATCTTGTTAAAGTTGAATTTTTTTTATAGCAAATCAAAAAGCAAAAAAAAAAAA